TGAAATGTGCAGGTTTTATGAGTTAGATTTGATTGCAGACATTTGAGGAAATAATTTGACTGTGAAACTAGCATGGTTCATTGTCAAAGCCACCTTAAGATAATAACTTCTTTGAGACATGAAAGACAGAGTACACTTACATAGAAACCTTATTTTTTTTGTTCTTTCTAGCTATGTATTATATGTTGTGGGCCAAAAGTGCTTGTATTCTTGCTTGAAATGACAAATTCTTGTCTTCCTTCCTGTAGCATCCTAGAGTTGTGCAATGGAACCCTGTTTTTACTGACTCACTTCAAGCCAGTCATAAGATGACCAGGTCGTGATTCATCACAAAAGGAAACCACAGCTGTCAGCTGTGGTCGTGAGTGTGTTTGGCTCCTTACTTCTTGGGTCAAGATGACCTGTAACCATTAATTCTGTTGTATAAAAGAGAGCTGGAGCTCATCAAAGTTTGTTTCTGAGACTGCTCAGTGTGGGTGTAAGACAGACTGGAGTTCAGTCAATATGCTTAACTGTGTATGTTGTTAGGAAAGACAGTTGAAAGTTTAAATATTATGGGTGTGTTTTGAAACAGTGGTGGCGAACAAGGTAAAGCTGCTTCAAAATCTTTCTTTGTAGTAGAACCGTTTGAGGGACTGCTGGGGATGAAAACTGCAGTTCAGCTTTCTATGTACAAACATTTGCTTCCATGTTATCCTCTATTGTGTTCAGAATGGAGTTTCATATGAAGAGAGTCAGCAACCATACTTTTTTTTTAGTCATTTAGATAAAATTGTAGCTCAATATTTTCAAAGTAGTTGAAGGTTTTAGGGGCCTGTTTTCTGTTACTTTCAATGGGACCTGGGTGTTAATTGCCCAAGACCTCTTCCAGGTTGTTACTTTAATTTAATTTTTAAATACTACTTACTAAGCTGAACTTGAGAGAATTTGGGAAAGTATATTTTAATTTATTTGTTTTTTTTTTTTTAATTATTTTTTTGCAATACTTTGTCTTGTGAGTGGATAGTAAGATTATTACGGTTGCTGGTTTTGATGTCATAAAATGAGTCAATTGAAGCTTTTGAATCATTATATGGTGGTAATATGTCAAAAGATAGTTTGAGTGTTAATACTTTTACCTTAATTAAAACTTCACCAGGTTCTTCCAAGGCCAGGTTGTCAGTTGTTGATAGGTTAATGTTTAAATTACGGATCTGGTCTGCAAAGTGACAGTGCAAAACAATATCTGGTTTAGTCAGCTGTTCTACTTCATGTGTATGAAGCAAAATATATTTGCTTTGTTTGGTGACAAATGTTTGCTTTGACTAGCTTGGATACCAGTATGCATTTGTTCAGCACTAGGTATCAAGATGTTATGGTCTCCATCCTTACCTTTCAGAAACCTTCAGCGACAATCAATTTGAGCAGGTGTAGTAAAAATCCTAGCTTGCTTCACAGAGAGTTGGGTTTTTTTTTCTACATGTTTTAACATAGAACAAGAAAAGGCAGGTTTTGTTAATGGTGATTATTTTAAAGTTCCTTTGAAGATAAGGGTATTTGGCATGGGATTGAGAGTATAAACAAGAAGTGCTGATGTGCTGCTAAAAAGCCAATGAGTGTTCTCAATATGAAAAACTATACTGCTCCTGTATTTCAAAGCATAAAAAAGCCCTACATTTATGTAAAAAAGTTAACTTGAGATAAAATGGCAATTTGGATAAAGTGCTTTGAGCTTTGGATTTCTTCTAATTCTTGTCAAATCTACAAATCGCCATGCAATGAGGAGAATGTAAGCTTGAATCAACTCACTCTGGTTAAGAATGCTTTTTACTTTTCTTCCTAGGAAAACCAGGCCTCTGTCTAGACATTAGTCTGGTGCTTTAGTCTGATTCCCACTGTGTTTTCTCTTCACATATTTTTTAATAATCATGTAAAAAATCGACATGATTTTACATTATTTTCACCTTAGTTACTAGAGAAGTGCAGTGAACTAGTTTCCATGAATACAGTGGGTGTCAAGTATGTTGAAACATTATTTTCACAACTATGAGTGCTCTCCTATGCCCAGATATGACTGGACACATTTATAATACCACAAGGCATAGTATTACTACAGTGAAGTAAAACTTGTATTTTACAACAATAAAGTAAATGAGCTGACATTGTTGGTTGGATTGTTATATGATAATTAAAAGGATGAGTCACTGCAGTAGGAGAATTGGACAGAAACGCTCATCATTTCCAGCCGGTGACGCTGAACTCCTTCTGCTTTTGGTTTTCCCAGTGGGTGAAGTATTTTAACTGTAATTTACTGATACTGTTATTTAGTTATGTTGTGCAAACTGAAGAACAACATAACACAAAAATTAATTTTTTTAGACCTGCCTGAATATGCATTAATTTTTGTCATCATAAAGTCAGCAATTATCATGCAACTGCTTCCTCACTTCTGTCCTGCTTAGTGAAATGGTAAGAGAATCAGAAAAAAAAACAAACAACTCATGGATCAATATAAGATCAGTTTAATATTTAAAACAACAACAGCAATAATAAGAATAATAACAACAACAACAATATGAGAGGGAGAGAGGAGTAAAACCCAAGAAAAATAAATGATGCACAGCACAGTGGCTCAGCACCCGCTCTCCAATGCCCAGCCTGTTCCCTTCACTGGCAGGTGCTCCGGCTACACTGCCCAACTTGGTGAAAGCAGGGATTGAGAAAATGAGGCACCATCCTCTGTTGAAGATCAGGTTCGAGACCCATGGGATCCGATGAGCTACGTCTATAGGCCCTGATGGATCTGGGCAAGGAAACAGCTAAGCCACTAACCATTGTATTTGAGAAGTTATGGCAGTTCCCCAGAGAAGTTCCCACAGACTGGGAAATGCGAAACAGAACATCCATATATTTTGGGAAGGGAAATTGGGAAGACCCAGGGAGCTACACGCTGGTCAGTCTCACCTCAGTGCCTGGTAGGATCATGGAACAGAACCTCCTGGAAATTATGCTAAGGAACATGGAAAGTAAGGAGAAGTTTAATGACAGTCCACACAGCTTCACTAAGGACAAATTTGATGGTTGCCTGTGATGTGGTTGCAGTGGTGGTGGACGAGAGAAAAGTGAGTGACATCGTGTACTTGCACATATGTAGAGTGTTTGACACTGTGCCACATGACTTGTTGCTAAACTGGAGAGATACTATTTTTACAAATGGACTATCAGTGAATAACAAATTTAAAGAGTTGTGAATGGCTCACTGTCCAAGCGGAGACCAGTGATGAGTGGTGTCCTCAGGAATCGGTACAGGGACAAGCATGATTTAACATCTTTGTCAGGAACATAGACAGTGGGATTGAGTGCACCCCAACAGCCTGTGCCATTCAGTGTGATGTGAATGAAGCACTGGAGGGAAGGGATGCCGTCCGTGACAGGCTGGAGATGTGGGCTCGTGAGAACCTCATGAAATTCAACAAGACCAAGTGCAAAGTCCTACATTTGGTTGGGGCAATCCCAAATACAAATACTGGCAGGGTGGATTGAGAGCAGTCCTGAGGAGAAAGACTTAGGGGTTCCAGTTGATGAGAGGCTGGACATGACCAAGCAATGTATTCTCACAGCCCAGAAAGTTGTTTGTATCAAAGGCAGCATGGCCAGCAGGGTGAGCAAGGTGCTCTGCTCTGTTCTGGTGAAATTCCACCTGGAGTGCTGCATCCAGCTCTGAGGACCCCAGCACAGGAAGATATGGACCTGTTGGAGTGAGCCAGGAAGGAGGCCACCAGGATGATCAGAGGGCTGGAGCACATGTCCTGTGAAAACAGGCTGAGAGACTTTTGTTCATCCTGGAAAAGAGAAGGCACCAGGGAGACCTTAGAGGAGATTTTCAGTGGCCAAAAGAGACCTGCATGAAAGATGGTGAGGGTATTTTTACAAGGGCATGGAGTGATGGTATGAGGGTAATGACTTTACCCTCTTTCATATTAGGAAGAAATTCTTTGCTGTTAGGACAGTGCTACAGGTTTCCCAGAGAAGCTGTGGATGCCCAATTGCAGGAAGTGTTCAAAGCCAGACTAGGCTTTGAATAACCTGGTCTAGTGGAAGGTGTCTCTACCTATGGTAGAGGAGGTAGAGGAGTTGGAACTAGGTGATTTTTACATTCCTTTTCAACAAAGTTTTTAGGATTCTGTTTTCCATGTGTGTAGATAATTCTCTTCCTTGCCTCAGCAAAAAAAAAAGTACTAAGTGTATGAAGCTAATCTGTTATTTAAGTTGTTTTTGACAGTCAACACATAGCAAGCAGCCTCTTTTATAAAAGGTCTTGTGGTGATTTCCCATTTAAATGAAAAATGTGTTTTTCACTGTGCCCTGGGCTGCAGCTGCATTTTGTGTAGCTGTGTCATGCATTGAATGAGAAAGCAGAGCCACCTAGGGTATAAGTTTTGTCTGTGTGGAAAGGAATGCTAGTTTTGACAAGTGGAAGGAAGGCAGCAAAAATACATCTAAGGAGAGAGTATACTCAGTTCCTTCAAAAGTCTAGATAGATTTATCCTCTTTGTGAATTGCATCATCCATCCTTCAGCAATGGATGGCTTCAGTGGTGTGCACATTTATATGTGTACTTTCTAGTATATAATTATATGCATACTTTACCTGTATGTCTGTACATATGGGTGTGTTTAAGTACTGTATATACTAGTATGTATTTCTATGATGGATGCATGCCTGATTGAAGTCACAGCAGTCTCCAAGAGAAATCAGATTTTTGTTGTCATGACTTATGAAACTAATAATTTAGATGTGAAATTCTTCTGATTTGCTTTTCTGAATAACAGAGAAGTATTTCCTATCTTCCTGTGGACAAAAAGAAGTCCAAGAAACAAAAGTAGTTCTAGTTTGTGAAATACAGAATATGGAGTACAAGTGAGGTAATATAGCATATGTGAAAAATAGATGGTTCTTAAATTATTTTTAAAAATTGCAGTTCAGTATTTAATTACATAAATTATCATTTTTTTGTTTAGTTCAAGGAAGAAATCTCTAAGCGTTTCAAGTCCCACACTGATCAGCTTGTGTTGATATTTGCTGGAAAAATTTTAAAAGATCAAGATACTTTGATTCAGCATGGAATTCATGATGGACTCACTGTTCACCTGGTTATCAAAACACAAAACAGGTAACCTTAATAACAAGTAGTCTTCTGTTTACCTCTAGAGGAGTAAAAGTACTCTGGATTATTAATAGCTTTCTGTTGGGCAAAACTAGATTTGACGAAATCATCTTAATCGATTCCTCAGTTGCAGCTGCTGCAGGACAAAAGTGAAATTACGAATTTACAGTGGTTTTTTTTCATTTATCTTGTATTTTAGTTTGGTTTGTGTTTCTAAATGCATGTCTTTTATTTTGGTTGTTTTTTGGGGGGGTTGTTTATTTGCTTGTTATGTAACTTTTTTTTTTTTATTTAGTTCTGGCTGTGCTTTGGCTTCATAGTTGTTAGATATCATCTCTTACTGTCCATTAATATATGTTATGCAGATTTTCTTTTCACACACGAAGACAGAGTGAATCTTTTCTTTCTCTTTTTTTCTCTGCAGTGAATTTTCTTTCATTGTTTTACCAACACAGTGAGTAAAGACTCTCTGTTTTGGTAAAACAAAGAAGGAAAAATGCTGTGAATTTATCTGGCTGAATAGAATTTAGATTTTGAGGTGGTTTGGGATTTTTTTGGTTTGGTTTTGGTGTTTTGCTTTGTTTGTTTTTGTTTTTCTTTTGGTGAAGAAGCATTAGAATAACAGTTAGAAAGTTCTGTCAGTTGGCTATGTTGCATGCACTTCCTGTGAAGTGCCCAAAAATCCTTCCAACTAGCAGAGTAATAGATCCCTCAAAAGCAGTTTGGTATTGGTCAATAACATGTTCATTCTTTTAGTGTGAAAGTGGTTTTGCTCCTGTTCTACTTAGGTCTTTTCTGTCTGTGGTGAGGATCCCTTCTGATGTGAAAACATTCAATGTTGAAGGAAAGAGCATGGAGTTTAGGAGAGAACAGAAATAGGCTTTCCCTTTCAAGGTCTTACCAAGACACAAAGACCAGCTAGTAACATTAGCATTAAGTAACAAATTCACCTTGAAATTAGTAGCACTAGCATTAAATGTGGATACCTTTTGAAATTGATACCTTCAGTTCTATATTCATGCCCTAGAAGGATTATGTTTTTCATCCTGGAATCAAAATACATGTTTGTACTGTCAGAGGTCTCCCTTTCATGCCCTGTGCCTCCTCCACCTGACATTCATGCTGATACAACTGAATACAGTATTAGGTAATACTGCAATTCTGTGCCTTGTGCAACTGAATGGGTATTCTGCTGTTGCTATTTTTTTGTTGGTTTTTTTGCCTGCAGTCTGGTGTATGGCAGAGAGGCATCGTGAGTAGTATTAGCAGGATGCTTTTGACTTGCACAGTCTTCAGAGTTTGTAGTTTCATCATGGATATCTGCTATAGCTATACGTACTGAAATACCACTGCCAGCCTCTTGGACCTTCTTGTGTTTTACCTCTGAGCAGAGAAACCCCCCACGAGCACCAATGTCAAATGTGTGGCTTTTGGGGAATTTTCAGTGTTCCTACATCTGTCTTACCAGCATTGCACTCCACGTCTTCACTCGTGCCTGCTTTTTTTTGAATCATTTTACAAGAGTGTATTTCTACGATCTGCAGAATGTTTTAATCATGTCTGGGAAAATGAAGTATGAACAAAGAACTACAGATCCTTTTCATGTACCTGTGCTGTCTTCAAATGATGTGTTGAAGGTTTTTTTTTTTTTAGTTTTCCACTAGCTTTGCTTGAATAAACTAAAAATGTTTTAATGCTAAAACCTTCTGGAGAGAATGAAAATCACCTCTAAGAAAGTATAGCATTGTCCTGAAATTTCTCAGTAGTGTTCTTGTTAAAATATCTGTATTTTATGCTCGTCTCAAAAGACAAGATTTAGACCCTGCCAGTGTGGCCTGGAATGTGCTGATTTTTGGCCATGAGTATCAAGATTGATTTGTTCCCAGCTACTTGATGCTGTGCCATTTACTTTTCTGTTGTTGTTACTGTTGCTGCTATGTATCTGAATAAAGTAAAAGTTCTTTCCCAAATTTGGATCTGACAGTGGTCTTTTCCCTTCTAAGCTATGTTAGATGTGTAATTTCGAAACAGAAATCCTCATATATCCCAGACAATCCTTGTTAAAAAAAAGATTACTTTTTTTTGCTGTGCTACATTTTCCAGACTGCTGCACACTTTCAGTGAAATCTTCTAACCTGTCCAGATTCTACATTGTCAGAGTAGCAGTGAGTGATGAGCAGTGGGCAGTGAAGATACATTGAATTTCCAAATAGAGATCTAGGTCAACAGGTATCATTTGTTTACAAGTGCTGTGAGGAAACATAATGGCAAAACAGGTATAAAAGAGGATGTGCTCTTGACAGGAATATCACTGAAAGACTGGAGGCTAGCAGGCTTGACACTCACATGAACCACTGTCTTCAGAGAATATTCCCCAGTTTACATGGGAGCACTGTTGAACTGCAAGTTTCATCTACTTTTCTGTCACACTTCTGAGAACCTTTCCTGTCTATTACATGGAGCAGCATAGTTGCTTGTCAGAGTAGTTTCTCAGTTGAAAATACTAATAGGATTTTATGGTTATTAGTTTTCTTTTACTTATGGAGGAAAGATGTGTGTGTTTTCTAGATGAAAGAAAATCAAAATATCTCTAGCAGGAGAATCATGATCAGTATACGGTCTATAATATTTCTCATTCAAGTTACAGCTGCTTGGCTAATCATAGTCATCATGTGTTGAAAGTTTGCAGTTACTGATAATGAAGATAAAGAACTCTTAAAAACCTTTAGAGGATCTCTGCATTTAAGGCATATTTCTGAATTTTTTTGTACAGATGAGTTTTTTTTTACTGGTGTTTGCTTGAGTTGAGCAAGCACAGACTCGTGTTATAGGAGAAAGGTCCTCCTGGGTGAACTGAGGTATGAAGTCTAGTGTACTGTCAAATTCTCAGATCTTTTTGTGAAGTCTGAATTCATAGTTTTAAAAGTTATTTTATTCTGTAGTACTGCAAATACAGTCATTTATTGATTGTTGAACCACAGCGGAGAATTGATTTGGATTTAAAAGTAGTCTCTTTTCTTTAGAACAGAGAGGCCAGGTTAGCTTTATTCAAGCTCAGTTTCTTGATCTCCTTTACTACATGGCAACATCTGTCTTTCTGCCTGCAGTAGAAGGGTGTGGTGAGTATACAGCCTGGGCAGCCTTTAGTGCCTGTACTAAGTTATGCTGGCTTTAGCTTCATGTGATTTCATTATCAGCCTGTCCTTGAAGTCTTAAAGGTCTGAGTCTGAGATTTGTCTTGTAATAAAACGTGACATTAACTGAATTTCATATTCAAGAAAGCATCCTGTTAGAGACGTGGCATGAAATAATTTCTGCATTAAATTTGTCAGGCTTTATTTCTTCAAGGTGTGGGCATGTTGTCAGTAGTATGTGAGTATAGTGAAATAAGACATGGATCCTTAAAGCAAGGTAAGGACAGAGAAAACAATTAATTGGCAGGCATCACAGGGTAGGATGAGAAGGTGGTAACGGCTGCAGTAATACCTATCTGTTTTTTCTATTTGAAACTACTGTTCTGAAAAACTGATGACATGACAGGGGTCTGAGAAAGATTTACTGCAGGAAGCCATCTGGGGATAAATGGGTTTTGGTCAAGAATCAAAATATAATTTAAGATTCTCCAGTATAATACTACAGCTGTATTTAATGGCACTACTTAAAACAACTTGTTACACTCTTAAAATTTTTCAAATTGCTTTTTTAGATCACAAGACCACCCAGCTCAACAGGCAAACACCAGTGGGAGTACTGCTACCACATCAACGTCAAGCAGTAGCACCTCAACACCAACATCAACAAATAGTAACCCCTTTGGCTTGGGTAAGAATATTTGTCAGGTAAAATGGTGGGTATCTTCTCTTGGATTCAGGTAATTGTCCCCAAAGCTTTATTACAATGTAGACAGAACTTGAAAAACAAAACCCAAATAAACACACCAGCCAAAAAACTGATTACAGATATATATTGAATTGGCTGTAGAAAGTTTCTGATCAGTCAGTTACCAGAGGAGAGCTGCTTTATTGTTTTATATAGAATCACAAAATAGTTTGGGTTGGAAGGGATACCCATAAAGGTAATCTAGTCCAAACATTGTCCCGATTAGCTGGGACACCTTTAACTAGATTAAGTTGCTAGATAATGGGGCTCAGAGCCCCATCCAACCTGATGTTGAATGTTTCCAGAGATGGGGCATCCATCACCTCCCTGGATAAGCTGTGCCAGTGTTTCACCAAAAACTTAAGATTTGTACTGTTTCACCTTCAGTGGTAATGTGCTACTGATTTTATATTTTGGCACTATGAGTAATTAAATTCCTTCCAGTGTCCTTGTACTTCTTAAAAGTGCATCTGAATTCCTGTTATGTGAATACAGATGAATCATAGAAGTTTGGACCTGTAACATGAAGCCAAGATCTTCAATAAAAGCAACAAAGTTATTTCTAATCTGACAATTAAGTATTTCTTGGGTTTCAAGTCTATTATCATAGTTATCATATCAAAGCTGATAGTATTATCAACTTTCACCTCTGTGAATGAAGAGGCTGCAGTCTATTGACTTAAAAATTATAACCTCTTTCCATAGTTGTGGTGGGGTTTTTTTCATCCTTTTTTGTCTTTTGTTTTGTATTTGGGAGTGGGGAAGAGGTAGAATTGGAAAAGCCAATTATAGTAAGCAGATGATTTCTTATGTTTAAACGGTTCTTTGGTCTGTCTAGTACCTTTTGAAATTTTTTTACTTGGGTTTGGCCAAGCACAAAACTGAAAACATAATTAGTTTCTAGTACATTACTACCAAGAGGAACACAGGATCTGCTTTTAGTTAGAATAGAGAATACTACTTAAATTGGGAGTTTGCTCTTATCATTTAACCAAGATGAGACAGATAATTGATTATTACAAATGCAATTGTTAAGTGCTACTGGATGGGGTATGGGGGGACATGGACCTAAAGCCCCCAAATCTTGGCTTTGGAAAATGAGAAAAAAAGTTGTTAGACTGATAACAAGTTTTATTTAAAAATGCAGTTTGTTGGATTTTTAGTTATGTGTATTATTATTTAAGGAAGCAAACCCTTAGTGAATAGGCCTGAACAGCCTTGCAAAGGATGGGACTTTCTATTCACTTCCATTATTTTGAAGTATATGTTCAAGTGTTTTGTATTCAGAAAAAATGTGGATGTGATTGGAAGGATAGTCAGTCACAATTTTTCATCTTCTTAAAGGTGGCCTTGGAGGTTTGGCAGGCCTGAGTAGCCTGGGCTTAAATACTTCAAACTTCTCAGAGTTGCAGAGTCAGATGCAACGACAACTTATGTCCAACCCGGAAATGATGGTTCAGATAATGGAGAATCCATTTGTTCAGAGCATGCTTTCAAATCCCGACCTGATGAGGCAGTTAATTATGGCTAACCCTCAAATGCAGCAACTGATACAGAGAAATCCAGAAATCAGTCACATGCTAAATAATCCAGATATAATGAGACAGGTACGTAAAAAGATCTATTAGTTCATGACTTGTGATTCTGCTGTTACTGTAAACAACAGGGCAGGAATTGGATGTGCTTAATGGAGTGTGTAAACATTATTGAAGTATTTAGTCTTACTCAGAATCAGTAAAAGGTTGCCATAGATAACCCGTATCTACGTTTCTCGTTCTTAATGTCCAAAATAGACTGATACTTCAGAAAATCTGCAGCATAGCATTTTTGAAAGCAATTGAATACTGTGTAGTCATGTCTTCTGAGGCTAGAACTGGATGTGGCTGTCTGCTCTTGAAACTGGTTGTCTAGCCAGCAATTTTACCATAAGTAGTAATTCTCCAAACTACTGCATATTTTCATTGTGTCTCACTGTGGGTAGTTCTAAATGCTTTTAAAATTAAAAGATAAATAAAAGATACATTGTGTGGCAAAATGTATCAAAATGCAAAGAGATTAATAGATGCTTTTGAAATTGTATGTATTTATTTTAAATTTCATACTATAGGCTGCCTGCTGTAGTGATGTTAGAAATAGTAAAAATTATGGTAGAATGCTGGCTAAATACAGAATTGTGTTGACTCACACTGAGCTGACAGTTGATTCAGTTTTAATCATTATTTTAAACTGGCTTATAGAGGGATAACTGAGATACTGCCAAACTATATTGCTGACAATATTGAGGTATTGCTGACGTTTTCACTTTAGAATGGATTTCTTATTAATACAGATTAAACGTTCCACTTCTCTAGACACTAGAACTTGCTAGAAACCCTGCAATGATGCAGGAAATGATGCGAAACCAGGACCGAGCCTTGAGCAACCTTGAAAGTATACCGGGGGGATACAATGCCTTGCGGCGTATGTACACAGACATTCAGGAGCCAATACTGAATGCAGCACAGGAGCAGGTGAGAAAAGATTACAAATGACACAGAAAGGAAATAATTACTTTTTTTTTAATAAAAGAATTTAAGTAATTTAAATTTCCAGTTGTTTACTTGACAAGACTTTTCTTTTACTTTTCAATTCTTGAAACCTGAAGTTGCTATGTAGCCTTTTATTCATGAGAGGAAAGAACTTTAAAAATCCTGTGTTCTTCTGAGCCTGAAGAAATATAGCTATCACTTTGAGTGACTGAGAAGTTATGTTAAGGTTCATAAATTTGTTTCTTTCTTAATTTTTAATTCCTTTAATTAATTGCCTTAAGATTTGGAGGTCTAGTAAAATCCTTTTAAGTTCAGTAACTTTTAACTGAAGGTGAGAAGAATAAAAGGCCTCAAATTGAAAAACCAGTGTGCAAAACACAATTTTACTGTGATGGAAATAGAGTGCAGTAGCAACACTGCTTTCAAAAATAAATGTGATTTAATTTCTTGGAGGGTCCTAGAATCTTTCAGTGTTAGTGTCTTTTCACAATATTTACATTTAATTACTGTAGAGTGGTAAGTATAATTGATGAAGAGCCATAAATGTTTGATTTCATTTTGTATGATGTAGAAATTTGTAGATTATAAGTGTTTTCTTTCCTTTGTAGTTTGGAGGTAATCCATTTGCTTCTTTAGTAAGCAATGCTTCAGCAGGAGGGGACAATCAGCCATCTCGTACAGAAAATAGAGATCCTCTGCCAAATCCATGGGCTCCTCAGTCTAGTTCGCAGACTTCTACCACAAACGCTGGCACTAGTAGTGAGAGCAGTGGCAGCAGCAATGCTGAAAATAGCACTTCTAGCACTACGGGACAGAGCTCAACTGGACCAAATTTGGGACCTGGACTTGGAGGTGTGTTTGTTGCTGCAACTGTATATATGTGCACATACTTGCAAAGTTGCTGGAATGATTCTTTTGTTAGGAAGAAAGTTTTTGATTTAGTTTTTATTGCTATTTACTTTGGTAGAACATTTTACTATTATCAAAGTCCTCTGAAGAAAATCAGGAAAAATAAAAAAATATGAAAAATAATCTTAGTGATAATAATACTTGTATACTGCCTTAAAACAACAAAAGTAACAAATCCTTAGATGAATTGTAGGTTTTTTTCCTGTTTTGGAGCAAATGGGAAAACAGCTAATAATGTGGATGGTTGATGAAGCGTGACAGACAATGTCTGTCTTAACTTCTAGTGTAGGTGTGTCTGTGTAAGCAGAACCATACTGAGGTAAATTTCAGGGTCTTAAACTCATGAAAACCAAGTGGTTATATATTCTGGGTTTAGATAGTCTATGTTTTCTGATAATAGTCAGGATGTTTACTAAAGTGCCCTTTAACTTTTCTTTAAGCTGGTATGTTCAACACACCAGGAATGCAGAGCTTATTACAGCAGATAACAGAAAACCCACAACTTATGCAGAATATGTTGTCTGCACCCTACATGAGAAGCATGATGCAATCATTAAGCCAGAATCCTGATCTTGCAGTACAGGTAAATTGTACTACTTGGTACAGTAATACCTTGTGTGTATTTAAGGGAAAAAAGACAAAACCCAAAGGTCAAAAATCGCCTATGGCGAAAGGGCCAGTTTTTAATGTTAGTTCCTAACTTAATGATATTATTACTTGCTTACTTTCAATGATTTGTTGCAGTGAATTTCTTCAATTTGTAGCTGGATATCATGCCTGACATGCTTCTAAAATAAATGGTGGGGTTATGTATGTTTTGCACAGCCCAAAACTTGTGATCCAGCATTAGGAACAGACAAAACAAGTTTTGGTTATAGATTAAGGTAGAGCTAACAGTAAATAAATAACCACACTAGTTTGGGAGAAATGAAGGGAAGGGACTTGGTGCTTTATGTACATATGACACTGTTTTTAACTTCTTATTTATGACCTGTGCTCACTAAAAATGGAGATACTGTTTTATGAATGGTGTTGCAGAAGTGCTTTCAATTTTTATTTAAAGTGGTAATATTGAAAGTCAAATTCTGAACTGAGATTGAAAAAATATTATCTCTTCTGTGTTAAGTGCTCACTTCAAAGTATCCTTGACTTCAGGTGATATTAGTAATAGCAAAGTTATTAGTAATAGCAAAGCTATTACTTAGATTTGTAGCGGAGGCTCAAGAGAAAAGGATTTTCATCTAATACTTGGCAAGACTGCTTAATATGTATCTGAAAATCCATTCACTTACAAGGGAAAAAAAAACACAATGAAGCAAAAGTGAAACAAATACACAGAAACAAAAGATAACACTCCCCTAAAGTTTTGGCCAAAAGAGTAGATAATTATTATTCTGTGAGGTGATTTTCATAGACTATTGCTGTATTGTCGGTAGTTGTTTTAAAACCTCCAGTGGTTTTTACTGCTTGATCTTTGAAGTTAAATATTTTTGTCCTATAGATGATGTTGAATAATCCTTTATTTGTTGGAAATCCTCAACTTCAGGAACAAATGAGACAACAACTTCCAACTTTCCTTCAGCAAGTAAGATAAGATACTAGCTCTTAATAAAGGTCTTCAAGTCAATGAGCAATACTTTTAGTAAATTGGTGCCTGTCTTTGATTTGGCTAATAGCTAGGTTCTGTAACATATTCTCATTAGTTTTAGATAGGAAGTTCGATTGTTCCTTGATAATATTTTTGCTAATGTCTCCATCTCTTTCAAAAATTAAACCTGACTGTTTTCTATGACTAGCACAACCACTAAGATTTGTTCTTGCTTCTTTGCTTAGAAGAAATAAATGTTCTTACTGCCCACCAGCCAGAACATACCTCTTTGTGACAAGATTTGTTTCACAAATTAAAAGGAATAGTACTTTTCACACTACTAGTTAAAGTTTCAGTATGCTTTTCTCATGCCTATTCAAACCGGCCTTAAATATCTGGAAAAGAGGTCCTAGAACATGTCTTGAAAGACCCAAGTCATTAACTAATTTAAAAGAAGTGGGTTCTGAAATCTTTCCTGGAAAGCTTGCTCTACCATTGTCATCTGCTCGTACCAACATTGTGTTTGCAGCCCAGTTATCCACTTGGTATTAGTTGCCAGTGTGTAGTAGTACCACATTTCCTGAATAGAAGCAAGCAAGATTTTTGTAGAAATTGAAAACCTAATCCACTACGTGAGTTCTGTCATTAGGCAGTCCTTGCAAATTACTGTAAATATGCATTGCTAAGATTGGACTGCACACAGGAGGTTTTATGAGTAAATGAGCACATGCATGAATTACAGTAGCATGTTCAGTGTTCAGAAGATACTGTTTATATTGTTTGAACCACAGGAATGGCTGTGGTGTTTCATATTGCCACCCCTTTGTAATGACTCAGTAGTATCTGAGGAGCTAGTACCAGATTTATGTTTTGAAATCTGTGAATAATTGGTAATTAATGAAGGCACAATAGGAATCATATCTGTTTCCTTCTGTTACTATTGCCTTGTAATTTATCTGCACAAATAGTTCTCTGTTGTATTCACTGTCTAAAGTTAGGTGATTAACAGTATTAGCAGATGAGGTGTGAAGTGGAGAAATATCTGGATACTCTCAGAATGCTGATAATATTTCAACTTGTGTTTTCTTGTTTATCAACCTGTGTTTCTGTTACGGGACTGGGAGACAGAAACCATGGAATCTGCATAGTGGTATCTTTTGCTATTAAGGGCAATTGCCCACCAGAACAAGGGAAAAATGGCCGCTACTGGAATTAATAACATAAATAGAGATGTGATCCAGGTCACCTTAGTGCTCTAAGAATTGTTGGGCCACCATTTATTTAAGACAGGTTTAAATATTTTCGTAAAGTAGTTGCTGCAGCTTTCTTTGGAGACCCCAAAATATCTACCTCTTTAAATTGGAGTAATCTTCATCTACTGTACATTTAGTTACTAGTTGACTTTTAGAAGTCCAAGAGATGAATGGAAAACATTAATTGCTCTTCCAAAGTCTCTTTATGCAGTCAGATCAGAGTTCTTCATGTTCTATTCTGCAGTTCTGCCCTGCACTATAGGAAGTTTCACCTTAACCTGTGATTTCTGCATGAATCAAATGGTTTTTTTCAGCAAAAGTAATCTGGTCTAGTTGCTAGGGGAAAGCTTCTAATATTAATAAGGCTATCTGCTCTTTGGCCTGATTACCAAAACTGTGTTATTTGTAACTGAAACATTACTTTTCATTTACCAATTGCATCTCAATGCAAAGGTGAGCCTAAGCCACTAGTTTTGAGGTGGTGTCTAAAATAATGATTTTTTTTGATGTTTCATTTCAGAAATGAAAATGATTTGCCTTCTAAATTATTTGATGATGTGAAAGCCAATTTGTAATTGAAGTCATAATAGACTGAGAACGTTTGATTATTTATGTTTGCTTGCTGGTATATTTTGTAGTGTGTTTGTTTACATCTCAGGCTGTAAGAACTACAGATAAGAAGATATGTACCAATAGTCACAATCAAATTGCTGTGATCTGAAATTAGCTCAGAAAAAAAAGAACTTAGTACTTTTTCCTATATATTTATTGGTCAAGTTTAATCATGTTCAGAATTGTTGATTAGCAGTACTATAAGAGACTAGTTCTAGAGTAATGTACTAACGCAGTCTGGTGTGACTTGAAAAGATTGAGATCTGTAATGAAAAATACTTGTCCTTGTATAATTCTCATTCAAAAGCCTTTTCCTACGTCTAGAGAGTTCATTGATCACCTTCTATGGAAGTTTTCTCACAGAATTAAAAATAACGGAAGGATTTCCTGTAATATTCAACTACAAAATCAAAAGCCAAGTTCTGAAATTATTTCAGATTCTGTAAGACACCTAGCAATAAAAATTTCCTTGGATCATCTACATATAGTGAAGAGTTTCTACCTTTTTCATAGATGCAGAATCCTGACACGTTATCAGCTATGTCAAACCCCAGAGCAATGCAGGCTCTGCTGCAGATTCAGCAGGGCTTGCAGACATTGGCAACAGAAGCACCGGGGCTTATACCAGGGTAAGAATTGATCTTACAAATTTGGACAGAAAGTCTTCCCTTGTGTTATTCATTCTTTTTAGATTTAGAGATTCATACAGTCTGTATTAAAGAATTGTCCTCTCGCCTTTTTTAGTTTATTTAAACTCATTTTAGAATCTGTCACATTTATCTGCTGTGCAATTCTAAACAATGATAACTCTGGTCTTTGTCTCAGTACTTTACTCAAATTATCCTCTCTTTGACAGAATTTGTACTCACCAATTAATAAGAGACCAACTAGTGTTTATTATTCAAGTGGTGTATTTCTTTTTCTGTAATTTGCACAGATTTAATCCTGGTTTGGGTGGAGTGGGAAGCAGTGGAACTCCTACAGCGTCCACAGTACCTAGTTCTGTTTCCACTGAAAATACAAGTCCAGCTTCAGGAGCTGCTGAACCTGGTCACCAGCAGTTTGTCCACCAGATGTTGCAGGCACTTGCTAGTGCAAATGCTCAGGTAAAGTATATCATTATATTCTAGGTATTTTTACTTTTAATTGTAAAATACTGGAAAGAAGATAGATAGTTGAGGGAAGAGCCCACTGGATGCTTCTGGTCAAAGGTCAGTAGAGGAGGCTTAAATGTGCTATTGCAGCTGTGCAAGTAAATGCTGAAAAAACATCTTCTGTCCTGGTTAAAAACATGCCTCTGATGGTCATACCATTGAGACCGTGCAAAATTTTGCCAAGAGTTTGTGTTAAAAGGATCTTCCTAAAAAGCACAGCTAACAGTTTGCCTTAGACTCAAGTTTTCTAACAATCAGGATTTTGGTAATTTTAGTCAACAAATACCTGGGGGCGTTACAGAAGAGGTGATCTTTACGTCAAGTTAAAGCCTGTAATGTTCAAGATTGCTGGCAACATGATCTTTGCTGTTCCACGTTGCTAGGTTGAACTCTGTTTTGTTTTAAAAAACACCTATATGCGTATCTTTTAGAAACTGTTAATGGGACATACAGGTACCAAATTTAATTTGAATCCTCCTCTATCAAACAATCAGATTTTCCTGGAGCTCAGGAATGTTATGTAAGTGTAGATAATTTGATGGTGTTGACTTGTTAAAAAAATTCTTTGATTGCTAATTGAATTTGTCTGAATATATTTTATGGAAACTAGAAAAAGTTGTAGTCAAAAATTAGAAAAGACAGAGTGGTGCAGAACCCACGTATGTTTAAATTGTGTATTTTGCTAAATATATGTTATATTTTATAGCTTGAAATTTTGTTCTTAGCAGTTACAAAATCCAGAAGTTCGATTTCAGCAACAACTGGAACAGCTGAGCGCAATGGGCTTTCTCAACCGTGAAGCAAATTTACAAGCACTAATAGCAACGGGAGGAGACATCAATGCAGCTATTGAAAGGCTGCTTGGTTCTCAGCCTTCATAGCAGTGTTTCTTTTAACTTGAAAAAATGTAATTTATTTTTGATAACAGCTCTTTAATCTTTTAAATTGCTTTATTTCATTCTGACTCTTGGGATTATCTTGTTACAACTAAAACCAGTCTGATGCATATGAAGGTGGAGTGCAGTAGTTTTTCTTCAGACAGTGGGAATCAATGCATTTTCACTTTTGAGTGCATCAGTTCTTTTGTTCAGCATTATTTGTGATTTTTTGGAAACAGTATCAGCTTTCACAGTTGGATGAACTAGTTTTGTCTGACCTACAAATGGCCAATTTATTTACTACTTAAACAGTATCCTTCAGTAGTAATTTATGTAGATTACACATTAAAAAGGAAACAAATTAATTGAAGCTGTGGATACCAATACTGCTTATTGTGATTTTGGCATGGTTTTTTTCTTGACTAGCAAAATGCTGGAAGATTTATACCACTTGAATAATCTACCATCTTTTGCTTTAATTTGTGTAAAGTATAAACACAATATATACAACTCGTTTCTAGAGATTTACACAATACAATGGAGTGAAATAGTAAGTAATGAAAAAACAAACAAAAAAACCAAACCAAAACAAGAACAAAAAACCAAACCAAAACAAACAAAAAAAAACCCACAAAAAATTACAAAACCAAACAAAAAACTAACAACAACAAACAAACAAAGGAAAGTAAGAAAAAAAAATCACAGGACTTGAATTTGGAATAGAATTGCCCAGGATCTTTGGTAGCTATCTGAGAAAAAATGCTTAAGCAACTTCAGTTAAAATATACTAGAATTACTGTTCTGGTTGTCTCTTTACATTTAACTGTACAGAAACTTGCATTATAACATTATCTCAGTATTCACAGATTTACTGTAAATTACTTTTGTCATTGTCCAAATTAAAGAGCCACGGCCTTGTGCTCTGGAATTGCTTCTGTAGCTACTTGGCTTATTCCACTAAGATTTTAATGTGTATTCTGATTTGTAATTGGAGAAATTACCTTTATTCATGGTCATGTGATACTCAAATTACTTTTAGCCACCAAGTAAAAAAATACTGTATAGCTTTTGAGTTCTATTGGTAGTAACTTCTCTTGTGCACAGGTAATAAATGAATTTAAAAAATCTCTAAGCATCTTGTTTCAGTGTGTTTGCAGTTGATCATTGCCTAAAAATCAAGGTGACAGTCCATCCTGAAAGCATTTGAGTGAGCACAAGCTCTGGCAATACTTACCAGCTCTGCACTAAAACTAGTAAACAACTCCTGCAGTGTGAGGTGGAGGGAGGAGAGTAAGAGATGGATGACGTTGAAGACTTCCAGCTTAGATTAATTTGGGATAGGAGAACAAAAGTTTAAATGAATCTGCTTTTTATTGCTCTTTTGTGCCAGTTTAATGGATTTATGCAACTTCAGGTTCCTTTGATGTTCTCAAACCTGCACAGGGCAGTTCATTTTCCCAATCTCTGTTCTCACCTTCTGTGGCTTGGGCATGGAGTACTTGCTGGTGAAGACAGGCAAAAAGTCATTGAGTACCTCAGCATTCTCAATGTCCTACATAACCAGGTCTTCCAAATCCCTTCTGAAAGGAGCCACATTTTCCCTAGTCTTTTACTGCTAATGTTCTTAAAGAAGATTTTTGTTACCCTTGGTATTCTTGGCCAGATGCTTTAGCTTTCCTAACCATCTCTCTGCTTTTACCTTCTGCAACTTGGACAGTGTGTCTGTAACACTTGCCAGTGAAGGAAACAGTCAGTGGGTGCTGAACCACTGTACTGTGCATCATTTGTTTCTCTTGTGTTTTACTCCTCTCTCTTACTCTCATTATACTAATAATAACAACAACAACAACAATTTCATCTCCCTGGATCTTGGACTATTTCTTGATATTACTCCAAGGCTACTTTTCCCTCTTTCCAAGCTATGTAAGCTACCTGTTTGTGTTTTAAATTTGTCCATTTGTCCATTTGTGTTTTAAATTTGCTCATCTGTACAGGCCTCCTGACATTCTCTTCTAGTTTCCTCCTCATGCATAAATCTTGGGGAAACAATCCTTAAATGTCATTCAGCCCTCTATGCTCAGGGCTCTGTGCCATGGTATTTCTACCGAGGAGATCCTCCCAAGAGGCCAACTTCAGCTCTCCTGAAGTCTAGCATAGTCATATTGCTTCTCACTCTCCTCGTTTCCCCAAAGATCCCAGACTCCACTGTTTTATGGTCACTGCAGCCCAACATACCCTTGGATTTCACATTCCCCACCAGCTCTTTGTTGCTGAGAACAAGATCCAGCCTAGCACCTTTCTTCTTTGGCCCCTTTATGAGTTGGAGGAGGCAATTGTCATTAGTGAGCCCCCTGGAATACGTGTGCTCTACTGTCGTGAGCCTCCAACAGGCTGTCACAACCTGGAAATGTGTGTGATATTTCTTGTAAGTTTTATCTGTCTAGACAAGGTCTGCATGTCTATGTGGTAGCCTTATTCCAGAAATTAGCCCACTAATTTCTCTAATTTATCTGTAAAAGGGTTGGCTAACAAGGTCCAACTTCTACAACAAACTTTCAAATTAGCTCCCAAATCTCACAGTAAACTTCAGGTGTTCAGTAAGTGAATAAAGTGGAATATAACTGCTGGGATAAAACAGGAGAGAATGGATGGAAAAGAGAGGAAGAAAAAAAGTCAGTCCTTAGATCCTGCATTGGTCCTGCTGCTGTGGGTGGTCTGGATCTGAGGTCAACTGAGAGAATGCTGGGGTCCAATCCCCTTCCTTTTATGGTTTACTTGGTATATGCCTCTCATGTAAAATACTATGTGTCATTCATGCTGTAGTGTTCATATGTGCATACTGAGTTATTTAGAGCTCTCCAGGAAATGAGGGAGTTAGCAGACTGTGATGTCCGGGAGCAACTTTTAGTGAGGTGTCTGTAATTTAATTCTGTTGACACAGGTGCACTTAGAATGAGTCTTAAGGCAGATTTTCAAGCTTAACAATTTAGGAAGGAAAAGGAAGTTGGCTCAGAACAGCACTGACTGCCCCACCTCTGCAGAACCCTCTCAATCCAATCAGCATTCTCCTGTTGTAACAGTCAAAATGTTTGAGCCAAAATATATGTAAATTGTTTATGCCTGGTCCTCCAAATTGCTGTTGCGATTGTTGGAATCCCCCATGAGGATCAGGGCTTGTCAATGTGAGGCTTTTCTGCTCTGCTTATGGAGGGTTTCAGTGGCTAGGTCTTCCTGGTCAGGTGGCCCGTAGCAGGCCTCCAATATAAACCTGTGCTTGTCCTCCTTTTAATCCTCACCCATAAACTGTAAATTAGCTCCTCATCTATTCCAGGAGGGGCTCCATGCAGATGGTCACTGACAGAGAGGTTGACATTTCTACTTTGTCTCCCCTGCCTGCCCTTCCTGAAGAGACTGTATCCTTCCATTCCAACACACCAGTCATGGGAGTTTCCACCATGTTTTTGTCATGCCAGTAAGATAACAGACCTGCAGGCATGCATATGTCTCCTTTATTCCCTGGATGCTGGATGTGTTAGCATAGAGGCATTTAAGTTAGCCCACCCCTCCAGTGAAAGTTACTTTCTCTCTGGAGAGGCTGGAATCCCTTGTGCTGTCTTCCAAGTGTACTACTGACCTGCAGTCCCTCTCTAGACTCTGGGTGTCTCTTGCTGGCTCTGGCACTTAACTGATATAAATAGGATGGCAAATCATCCCACACCTATTAAATAGGATGGTAACCTCCCTCTTCTCAATCATAAATTGTTAAAAGCTGTATTGGTGACTCCTGCTAACCCTTGACCAAAGACCCTCTTCTCCTTTTGAGAGAGGTGATGCTTCTGATCCCATCTGATACAAGCAAGAATGTGTTATCTTAGCTATCCCGTTGTTAAACAACCCAAAATTTTGGCAGTGACATGAGCCTCAGAGCCATATATTAATCGACTCAATCCATCTGTTTCTTTCAGTCACTACCTTCACATGGAAGAATGGGAGGAAAAAATAACCTATGCCCATGATTCCCTTACCAATTGTCCCAAGGCCTTGAAGTCTCTTTTGATGGCCTTTGGACTGATTACATGTTGTGACTTCTTCACCACTTTCATGGAGGATCAGCAATGGGAAGTAGTCTGAGCACTGAACCAGGCTGGGAAACTTCCTGGTGACATCATTAACCTTGACTCCAGGAGTACAGTAAACTTCCTTGAGGGGAGTATCCTTCCAGCATATTGGACCTTCTATTCCCCTTTGAAGGGAACCATCTACCACTCCAACTATTATTTTCTTCTTCATGGAACTGATGTTGTGAGCTGTAGGCCTGTCTGGTCTTGATAACATCTTCAGTAGAGAGGGACCTTCATCCTTATCATCCATTACATGACTTTCCTTATCTGTAACTACTGTACAGAGAGGCACCTAAAGGGAGGTTGAGATGGGCAAGGAAGTGTCTTGTCTGTTGTTCCAAGCAAGGACTTGCCTTTGTTCATCATTTTATTCTGACCTTCAGGCAGAGGGAGGTTACAGGACCCTCTTATAAGAAAGGGTAGAGAGCAAGTAGTTTCTGTAGAATAATCTCTAACTTTTTTACAGTTACTTTCACAGTGACTATTAGGATCTCCAAAGAAACTAATTCAACTTAAGTGTGCCTTACTGGGACCTTGCGTTAAAAAAAGTTGAGACTCCCTCATCATTCAACAGGCAGATCTTTTTGAGAATATAGTCCATGACATCCAAAAAGTCTGTCAGATGGAAGGGCAAGGGTGATGTGGGGAACAGAACAGTTTTTACCAAGACACTAAATCAGTGAATCTAACTAGCACAAATACTTTCTTCAGGCACCATTCATCTCACCATTTTTAAGCATTTCAGTTGCATGTTACAAAGAAAGAGACAATACATTTGAAGTAAAATTTCATTGCAATTCAGCAAGAGATGAAGTTTGACCTAAAATCTATATTGAGCCTTCAGCTGAGCTCTCTTCTTGAAGTAGAATCAATATTTATCAGTAATTACTGTCAATTAAACTAGCTTTCTGGTAAGTAGTGGTAAAAACACTGAGCTGTTTTTTATTAGGAATTTTCATTTTGTCAGAAAATACAGAAAGCAGAACAAGCTTTATAGATAGGATAGACCTTTTTATTTCATCTTTAATGGTGAGAGAAAACCTGCATTTACTGGTTTTAGATTAAGTTACAGTGTTTCTCTTTGTTCACCCCATCCCACTTCCACGCCTTTATCCATCTCTCTTTAAAATTCTCTCTTCAGAGCTACCTACTTCTTTTTTCACATGAGCACTTAGATAACTTGTATTTGAAATCTGCAGCTTGCATTTTGGATCAGAGTACATGTGTGCTTAAAGGTCTCTTCATTTTCCTGCTTTCTTCTTTTCCTTTGCTGTGGACCAAGTGACCTGACAGGATTGTCTGAAAAACTGCCTTGCCTGATCATCAAACCCCTGCTAGAAAAAGTTGCCATCATTTGATGCCAAAGCCAGAAATCTAAAAGTTATGATATCTGAACTGACAGATTTAAATACTTTATATATGACATAATTTAAAATACTCAAAATGCATGAATTTACTATTGGGAATATGACTGGAAGATGGCTAGTTTTTTAAAGGATGTGGTCTGCCTAATTATCTTCTTGGTTCAGTGACTGCATGTGCTGAGCTGACCCTGGCTGGATGCCAGGCACTCACCAAAGTCACTGTATACCTCCCTTCTGCAGCTGGACAGGAGAGAGAAAATATAAAAAAGGGTTTATGGGTTGAGATAAGGACTTGGAGAGATTGCTCATCATATACTGTCATGGGAAAAACAGGCTGGAATTAGAGATATTAGTTGAATTTATTAGTAACAAAATCATACAAGGATAATGGGGAGTAAAAATAGACCCTACTCCTCCCTCCTTCCTAGCTCTACCTCCTACCCTCCGTCAGTGCAGGGAATGGGGATTATGGTCAGTTCATTACAAGTTTTTCTGCTGCTGCTTAGGGAGAGTTGTTCCCCTGCTCCAGTGTGGCGTCCCTCCCATGGGTGACAGTTCTCCATCTCAGTCCAGCTTGTGGGCAACAGCTCTCCACAAACTACTGCAACATAGGCCACTGTTCATGGGGTGCAGTCCTTCCAAGGACAGGTTGCTCTAATGTGTCCCCCACAGGGTCACATCCTACAGGAAGCCTGCTCCAGCATGGGCTCCTCTCCACAGGTCTGCAGGTTCTTGCCACGACCCTGCTCCAGCACAGGCTTCCCATGGGGTCACAGCCTCCTCTCAGGCATCCACCTGCTCCAGCATGTGTCTCCTCCATGGGCTGCAGGTGGATCTCTGCATCCCCATGGACCTCCATGGGCTGCAGGGAAACAGCACCATGGGCTGTGGGGGAATCTCAGCTCTGGTGCTTGGAGCACCTCCTGCCCCTCCTTCTGCACTGACCTTGGTGCCTGCAGAGCTGTTCCTCTCACATGTTCTCACCCCATTCTTTGCTGGCTGCAGTTACATCAGTGCAATCACATTTTTTTCTCCCCTCCTCTTAGAAATCTGTTATCACAGGAGCGTTATCACCACTTCTGATTTGCCCAGCCTTGGCCAGCAGCATGTCTGTCTGGGAGCCAGCTGGGATTATTTCAACAGGGGGTGGGGGTGACTTCCAGCAGATTCTCACAGAAGCCACCCCCCCAGATACCACAATCTGGCGTAACAAAATAAATATTATTAATAAAAAACCCACAACACATATCAATTTATAGTTGAGGTGGCAGGCAGCTAGTCTGTTCCTTTGCCTGTGCAAAGGAACTTGTGCAGTTTGGGATAGACAGCATTTCATTTTTATTTCCTCATTTTAGCTTTGAAAAACGTTTATGCTGTAGTAGGTGCATTATTTACACATCATGTTACTAACTGTGCATAGCATAAATTCGTGAGGATGTAGTGCATGTACCTTGAATAGATAAGTTGTGCTTAGAGACAGAGTAAGCAATTTCGAACTCCAGGTGTTTCCTCCTCAGTTTTTGTTGCATTTGCTAAATACAAATCAAAATACTTGCATCCAGATAATATTAATAGCCTGCCCAACTAACCTGAATATGACATTCCTAGAATAGTGGTGTTAGTTTAAAAACAGCAACAACAAAACTCTCAAACAAAACAACAAAAACAATAAACCCTCACAACAACAAAAAAAAAACAAACCACAAATGAAACCTAAATCAAGCAAATGAAATGTTGTAGGATTGTCTTTAGGCAGGGATTGTTCTGCTACCTTTTTCTTCCACTGCACACGTGCACAGCTTGATTAAAATCTGAGAGTAGTTTTATGTGGTTAATATTGGGATAATTCACATCTTAATCTAATAATTTGTAATGAACAGAATATAAGTGAACAGAAGTAATGCTTTGTTGTCTTTCAGAATAGCAGGTAACAGACAGCCGATTAGATTGACAACAACCTTCTCTGCAGTATCTTTTAAGTAAAAGCAAGATGCAAATATATTAAAAGGGTAAGGAATACTTACTGCCTGTAAGTATGAACATACTACTTTGTTTAGAAGCCTTCCAAAATCCAAGCTTCTTATATAAAACTTAATGAGATTTTTTTTACTGTTGAGTACAATTTTGTCAGTGAAGCCACTTTGTGAGTGTTCTATAAATGTGGACAAGTAGATCTGAAAATCAGTCTGGCCTTCTCAGAACTCAAAAATGTTCCTTTTTAAAAAAAAAAAATATTAAAAGGTCTGATCATATCTGTGTGTGACAGGATGCTGCTGCTGTAGAGCGTCCTGGTCTGCCTTTATTGTGTGTGAAAGAAGGAAGCATAAATCTGTATTTAATAATGGGTACATTAGTCAAGTGTTTGTAAAATGGTGTATTGAAGAAGATGAAGACCTCATTAACAGCATAGATGCCACAAGAGGGTGCTGTGTCTGTGATTTTCATAGCTACAAAACTTGTACAGGTCTGACAAGTCACTTGGTCTGAAGAAGTCTCTGAAATTTGAGGTTATTAAGAAGCTTACAGATATCCCCTGCCTCTTGCACTTAACTTTGCTTCTATGTCTTAAACTTGCACCCTGGCTGTTGGAACAAACAGGATCTGGGGTGAGAGCACCCTGTAGTGTACAGCAACAGACTAAAACTAGTAACTGCCTGGTATTCTCCCTTCAGGTCACAAAATAACTGGAAAACACCATTTCTGGATAGGTTAATGCCTAAAATTCCAATTCTGTGTCTAAAAATTGCTGCTTTCAGTAACATAAAGCCCATTTATTGCACTAATTTAAGCACAGTAGTTTGTCTAGTACACCACAAAGCCCTTAGTATTTTCATTCATAATGAGAACCATGATTAATATTTTTCAAGTACTTACCCAGTAAAAATTACACTAAAGACGCTTTCAAACATGAGGTGTTCTTCTACAGGAGTTCATCCGTCATTCCAGAAATAAAAAAAATTGCATGACGCACTAAAAATAATCCATGTGTGACAGCACATGGAGATGTCTCCATTCGGACAAGACTCAAATCTTTCATACAGGAACTTAAAATAAAAAATTTCATTGTATGAAGCTGAAAAGGCATATCTTGTCTACCATGACATGAAGTACTTTCTGAAAAACACCTTGGTGGTAAAAAAGGACTTCAATCTTAAATTCTGATAGCTAGGTGACTGATTAGTATTTGGAATTTTCTTCTCATCTTCATCAAAAAAGATGAGAAAAATATGTAGTAGGAATAGTTTGATCAAAAGCTTTAAAGCAATTGCATTGACATGCACTGAGGTGCCCACCAGCATTGGGAAGTGAAGAAGAAGGTCCAGCTGTGAAAGAGTAAGTTTTCAAAAAGAAGGAAGTGTCAATCAACCTTGCATTCACTACCTTAAATCACTAGTTGACTCACACTCAGCTGCAATGTATACACTTTGTACATGAAAGCTCCAAGTTCAGAGCCAGTATGATGTTTTATTTCTTAAGCTTTATTTCTAAATATTTCTTATGCTTTATTTCTAAAGCTTTCCATTCAGTTAAATTTTTTATATTGCATCACCACCACTGCCTTTTCTTTCAAACATTTTTCAGCTTGGTGGTCAATGCATCCAGTAAGAGATCAGGAAAGTTCTCATGAAGTCATCAGTACCCTAGTGAGGTAAACAAGGACACAAACACAGAACCTACAACTTGATGAAAATCCAGCAGTGAGACAGAGATAGTGTCATGTATGGAACTTCATCATACATGTTCCTGCCTCTTCTAGGAAAATGACATCGTTTTTAACAAAGCTGTAAATTATTTAATCTTGTAATAGCAGATGTGCCCATCTCAGTATCTGACAGAGTAAATATTAAAATTAAGAAAATAAATTATTCTGTGTGACCCTTGCAAGGATTTTCAAAAGTAGGCTCTTACTAAAATGAGAATTTTAACTTCATAGAGTGAAGGGCTTAAAAAGTTAACAGTTATTGCAAATTATATCTTGTATGTCTTTTACAGAGCCATGATAAAAAAACCAAGCAGTAAACCAGCTCTTAAAAATAAGCTGGTTTGATTTAATAATCAATTTAATAATTAAAACCCTGTCTCATAGCCTTTCTATCCTTCAGGGAATTTCTATATGTATCATTCAGAAAATTACACTGGCAAAGCCTCACCCTGAAGAATGGCACTCTCAATCTCTGCTACTATTTCTGGGAGAGATTTTTCTAGACTGACAGTAATGAAGTCTTCTGGTGCACTAGGTGGCTCTAGAGTATCAAACTGAGACTTGAGAAGTTTAAGTGGCATAAAATGACCTCTCCGCTTCTCCAGGCGGCCAGCAATGATGTTCATAGGTCCATCCAAATGAACAAAGAGGATCTTCAGTGCTGGGTGTTCTCCTGGTTGCTCTGGCTGGTTGCTTTTGATTGCAGATGCTCCACTAATTAACACACGCCTGTACATCTTCTTGAGTGCAGAACAGGCCAGAACTGTATCTTGTCTAGATGTGTCTTCTCTATTGAAAAGAAAAAACAAAAATAAAAACCTTTATACATCTACAAAAATGGCTTGTTAGTTCTACTGAACAAGGCAGACAAGCCCTAGCTCCTCAAGAAGGACAGCCACAGGACTAGTGGCATTTTGACAGTATATTTGAATGTACTTGTATATTTGAATATATACAGTATATTTGAATATAGTTGAATATATTTGACAGGTATTTGAATAATTTTGATGGGATTTTGAAACCAAATTTCTAGTCCAGGTAAAGATGTGATTTGAAAGTGAAGTCAAGCTAGCCAACCTTTTAGCAAAATCTCAGTCTTACGGAGCTTGTCTATTAGCCAACATTCTTTCCTGAATTAAATTAAATTCTAGCACAAGGAAGTGTCAAGATAATTTCCTTAATTCCTGATAATAGGAATTAAATATCCATAGAAACACCTATCCATTATCTATAAAATTACTGTACTATTCTCTCTAAAGGTAAGTGGCTGATAAACAGTACAGACCACTGTTCTTAAATACAGTATTTTAAATACATGTTGTCACTGTCTCAGACTCAACTGTAATTTATGTTTTCTGCAACTCATTGGCAGCATTGCATATATACTCACTTCAGATTAAACAAGACATTGCAGGTCAGTGAATGCTGTGCACATGTATTTTCTGCTGACAAGGCTTCTTAAAATAAAGCATTCAACTCTGGGTGTGTCTGTTCCACCAAAAAGCAAATCCAGAATTAGTTGTCTCTAAGAGGAGTGAATAAAATTCCTGCCTAAGAAAATATATTCTGTAATAAAATTAAAATCAGGTATAAACCTATTTAAATATCATTCTATGGTCAGATTTTGGTTCAAAGGGAAGTAAGAACTTCTGATACCTACCATTATCACTTAGGCAAGTCAGTGACAGCCTCAGCTATTAATAAGAACTAATAATTAAACACTGGCATTAGGCTCTTTTACAATATAGTTGATTTTGTAAAGTTTCCAGAGCTGGACAGTGGCATTAAGCTATCACATAATATAAAGCAATGGATCCAGCATATCAATCCAGACAAATTTCTGGATTAACCTGTGCTCCAATGAGGTATGCTCACCTAATGCACACAAGCAAGTGTAAAGCTTGCCTAAACAGTCCCTGTCCTCCCAACCTTTTCCTTTTTTGGGACATACTCCAGTCCCTTCATCATTGTTGGATGCTCTCCAGTATGTCCATGCCTCTCTCATAATGAGGAGCCCAGAACTGACACAGCAGTTCAGGTGTGACCTCACCAGTGCAAAAAGAGAGGGGAAGGACTACCTCCTTTGACCTGCTGGCAATTCTTGGTCTAATACAGCCTGGGATTCAGGATTTTGCTGGCCTGCCTTGCCAGAGGAGCACATTGCTGGCGTACGTCCAGCTGGGGCTGTCCATCACAGCTCCCTCAGGCCCTTTTCTGCTGCTTTCCAGCTGAGTGCTCTCTGTCCATAGCAGTGCTTGGGGTTGTTTTTTCCCAGAGGCAGGATTTTGCGTTTTTAAAAGGTTCCTACCAACCTGTTTCTACAGCCTTTCAAGGTTCCTCTGCATCAGTTACTCCTCCCATTTTGGTGTTGTCTGCAAATTAGCAGAGTACACTCAAGCAAGTGAACAGTGTCAAACAAACTTGACACTGTATCTTATTCAAAATAACAGCATTTTTTCTTACTGTTGTTATTGGTGTATTTTGTAGTTATGTTCTTTGTAAGCAGTTAATGCCAGGCTTTTTAATAAATTGGATCCTTGAAATTATTTTACACAGATAGTAGGAAAAAAAAAAAAATCATTGGAAACAATTTTCCACTTTATTTCTCAGGGATTAGCTCACCGTCAGCAATTACTATGACAGTTTGGATTACTAAAAATAGAATGACTTTACTGCTTGCAGAAGTTCTTTGCATTACCACTTTTATTCTTGCTTTGCAATGCAGTGGGGAAAAACACTTCTGGTACTTCTGTCTTTAGCTAAAACGTTTTAAAACTAGATATTCTCTTACCTCCTTAGTATATCATGCAATGTGCAAAGCCAAGGAATCCTATCCTAGAAAGAAAACAAGTTAGTTAAAAATTCTTCAGAAATTAGTTTGAAAGTTAAAAATTCTTCAGAAATTAGTTTGAAACAATTGCTTCTAGCATCTCAGGTATTTGACCAGAGGCAAAAATTAGCATTAAACTCTTCAGGAAGTTCAGTTTTTAATCTCTTTCTTTATATATAGATTTGCTACTACTGTCTGAAGCTAATATGAACTGCCAGGCATGTTATGAATAAGAAGCTTTCAGTGGAATAATACTTTTTATGTTACAGGTCCCTACAAGTATATGATGGAAGTAATAGGTACGCAAGTGTAGCATGCACTTGTAAACCTCTGAAGGACAGTCAGCTTATCTCTTGCTCCTATTATACCATTAAAATGTACAGCTAGAATTGTTATTTCTTTTCCCTGATAGTGTCATACACACACCCCATACCCGTTTTGGATTCAAGTTGAAGCTTCCAGAAACAGACAGGTCTAAATTTAGTTATCTTCAATAACTATTTCAGTAGCACTCACCAATAAATGTAATCACAACCACAATTTCCTAAAACTTTTGCCCATTACTTAGGCAAACATGAGTGATTGATAAGATGCTTACTTAAAAAAAATCTTAAAAATCTGAAATGTTAAGCTGTCACAAACTTCAGTCATGCCTAATGAGCACTTAAAAACTGCTCTCATTTAATTTCTCAATGCTGTTACTGCTGGGTGAGCACAACAAATGCTAACATGGACAAATAAATGCAACAATTTTTTGTTGCTGTCATTACACAGTAACTTCCCCTTGGCATTCAAGATGGCCCTCACAATTTTGCACCTCTCATTTTTCAGAAAAGATGCTTTCCTCTTGCTGGGCACTGCACACGAATGGTTTAGTCATTCAAGTGTACAATGCTGCTACAGACAACATACAGGCTTACAATTGCTAGTGAAAGATCCAAGGTTTTCACCAGAATCTTGAATATTTGTCTACATTGTCTAAGGACATCTCCCAAAAGATTTGAGGGAGTGAAAAAAATAAAAGTGGAACCCTTGCAAAAAAAAAAAGTAGGAGCTTGGCAAAATTTTTCAATTCTAATTAAATTCTTAAGGTCTTTTTAAAAATATACCATTACTGCATCTTGCCCTGTTCTTAAGTTCTGTATACTTTTAGATTGATTTCATATGATCACCAGGGTTGTTTAGTTTATATTCTTTGTATTTTATATTCTTTGTTTAAACAGACATACATTCATAAGTATGTATTTCTCTAGAAGTAGTGGACATGAGCTTTTTTAATTCTTCCTGATTCTGTACAGGAAAAGGGGCTTTAACTGTAAAACCTCTGTCCTAATTGATGGCAAATGGGATAATCCTTTTTTTCAAGCTGTACCATTAAGTTACTAGTACTTCAAGCACTGTCAGCCTGTCAAGGGATGGGATTGACCCTGCGGTGGCCTCGCCTTGAGTCCTGTGTGCAGCTTTGGGCACCACAGTATAAGAAGAATATAAATATATTAGAGAGTATCTAAAGGAGGGCCTTGAGGATGCTGAGGAGCCTTGAGGGGAAGGTGTATGAGGAGTGGCTGAAGTCATTTGGTCTGTTCAGCCTGGGGAAGAGGAGACAGAGGACAGACCTCATTGCAGTTACAACTTCCTCCTGAGAGGGAGAGGAGGGGCAGGCACTGATCTGTTTTCTGTGGTGATCAGTGACAGGATGTGAGGGAATGGCCTGAAGCTGTGTCAGGGGAGGTTTATGTTGGATATTTGAAAAAAGGCCCCACCTCGGGGGTGGCTGGGCACTGGAACAGGCTCCCCAGGGAAGTGGTAATAGCACCAGCCTGACAGAGTTGCAAAGCATTTGGTCAGCACTCTCAGACACATGCTGCAATTCAGAATCATAGAATCATTAGGCTTGGAAAAGACCTTCAAAATCATCAAGTCCAACCTTTGACCGAACACCTCCATGCTAATTAAACTATACTGTTGTATACTTTTTTTTTTTATAAACACTTCTAAGGATGGTGATTTTTCTGAGCAGCCAGTTCTAATGCTTAGCCACTTTTTCAGTGATTATATTTTTTGTAATATTCACCTTGAACCTCCCCTGTCACAACCTGAGACCACTTTCCCTTGTCCTATTCCTTGTTGCCTGGGAGAATAAGCTGACTCCCACCTCACCACAACCTCCTTTCTGGTAATTGTAGAGACTGATAAGGTCTTCTCTGAGCCTCCTTTTCTCTAGTGCAAAAACACCCCCTGCTCCCTCAGCCGCTCCTCACAGGATTTGTGTTTCAGACCCTTCACCAGCCCTGTTGCCCTTCTCTGGACTGATTCCAGCACCTCAATGTCCTTCCTGAATTAAGGGGTCCCAGAATTGAACACAGTACTCAAGGTGTGGCCTCACCAATGTGAGGTATAGGCACAGGGGGACAATCACTGCTCTGGTTTTGCTGGTTACACTGTTGCTAATGGAGGCCAGGATGCCATAGGCCATCTCAGCCACCTGAGTGTGTGTTGGCCCATGTTCACCACCTGCCAACCAGCACTCCCAGGCCCTTTTCTGCTGGACAGCTTTCCAGCCTCTCTGCCCCAACCCTGTAGTCCTGCCCGGTGCTATTGTGACCCAAGGGCAGGACCTGGCACTTCAGCTTGTTGAAACTTACATGATTGGCCTCAGTCCATTGATCCAGCCTGTCCAAAACCCTTTGCAGAGCCTTCCCACCCTGCAGCATGTCAACACTTCCTTCCAAATTGGTGTCACCTGCATACTTACTGAATGCAGTCAGTCCCCTTGGTATCATTAATAAAGATGTTAACCAGGATTGGCCGTGATGTGAATCCCTGGGGAAACCCACTAGTGACTGCCCATCAACTGTAGCTCCATTCACCAACACTCTCTGGGCCTGACCATCCAGCCAGTTTTTAAACAGCGAACAGTGCACCCATTCTAGACCTGGGAAGCCAGTTTTCCAAGGAGGATGCTTTGGAAAATGGCATCAAAGGCTTTACTGAACTCCAGGCAGACTATATCTACAGCCTTTCCCTCATCCAGTAGTTCAGCTGGATACGGAAGGAGGTAAGGGTACCTTTCCCAAATCCCTGCTGGCTGGGCCTGATGCTCTGGTTGTCCTATACATGCCATGTGGTGTACTCAATCTGTTCCACAACCTTCCCTGACACTGAGGCCAGACTTGCAAGCATGCAGCTCCCTGGATCCTCCTTCTTGTACACAGGCCGCACTGGCAACCTCCAGTCATCCTGGGACCTCCCAAGATAACCAGGAGTGGTGATAAATCATAAAAAAGTGATTTGAGAGAAGGATATAAATTTTTTTGAGTTTTCTTGTGCAGGGCCTCGCAATGGACTCCATGTTTCCTGTAGGTCCCTTCCAACTCAGGATATTCTAAGAGTTTATGATTCTAATCCAAAACTGCAACTCTCTGTGTGGACTGTAGAGGGGGAGATTTCTCACAGATCTTGAAACAACATCATAATGCTTGTGAGCTCACAAGCATTTGATGAACTACTTTTTTATGCAGTTTGACACTAGAAGCCTCCCTCACCTTACACAGACCTGTGTTTACAGTCGGACTAGTCTACACAGTAAACCACAATGTACTTCAACAAGGTGTGCATGAAATTACAGAGATAAATGTGTGGACGACAGTTTTTTCAGGGCTTATTCAAGGTACCTCATCATTTAGTGGTATCCCTTCTTCCATTTTCTTCTTATTCTCTAGAGGATGATAATCATCTGCATCGTAGAATTTCCATCCCAACTAAGAAAAAAATAAATTAATTACGGATTGTTCAGCTAGATCAGGTGAGGTAACAATGACTTCAGAATTTACAAAGACGACACCTAAGAAATTACAGGCTTCCTGCACCACAGTATGAATCACCCTTTATAGCATGATGATTAGCACACAAAACAACAAAACACTGAGGCAGCTTGGTAGCAGCAACAGCTGTTGCATCACGGCACTGATCCGAAGTCGGTGCAGGCGACACTGCCCCAGCCGAACCCGGCTCGGGGGACCAGCAGCCCGGGCGAAGGCCGCCGGCCTGGCGCAGGGAGGTGCCTGCTCGCCCCGGCACGCCCCCGAGGCGGCGGCTCCCACACGCTCCTACCTTCTCTGCCAGCCGCGACCCGACCGTGGTCCTGCGGGGAAGCACAAAGGGCCGGTTACGCCCCCGGAGTCGGAGCCGCAGCGCCGGGCTCCGGCATCG